TGTCTCCTTTTCCTCCTTCCCCTCCTTCCCCCCCCCACCAAGTTCTCTCTTTCTGAAACTATTATTATTTGAATTGGTAGACCAGTTTCCTATTTTCTCTCCTATTTTCATTCCTTTCTCTGTCTTTTCCTATCCTCTGAGAGCCTCTGCCAGTTTATCTCCCAGTCTCCAGGAAAGGTTTTTTGGTATAGCCACTCTTGCCCCATGGGTCCACTATCTTGTTTTCTCTCTCTTACGATGTTAATTGTAAGATTTTTTTCAAGAGCTTGTCTCTGTGCATGGTCTGTTTGATCAAGAAACAGTTTCTTTGTGTAATTGACTGATTTGGTCTGTGTCTTTAGTGTTAGAGATTGTCAGCTGCCTGGGGATTCCTGGCTGTCTGCTTATTTTTAAAAGCAGGGGACAAACTGTTAGTTGTGAGGGATTTGAGAAGGGGGCCAAAACAGCATGTGTGTTTAATCCACCATTTACGCAGTCCTACAATAATTCATATCTATCATTTATTTCATAGTATTAAAAAGTGAAAAAAGGGCTGGCTGAGTGGTGCGATGGTTAAGAACTGGCTTGGGATGCCAGAGGGCCCCGGTTCGGATCCCACATATGAGGGCCAGTGACACTGCCCTCCACAGCTAAGATGCTGAACAACAGCTCAACCTGGAGCTGGGCTGCCGTGAGTCACCGGCGACGGCATAGGCTGCAGTCCCTGTGGCAGTGGGTTGCCATGGGCTGCCGTATGTAGTCAGCAGCCAGCGTGAGCGGCCAGCAGCCACAGTGAGTGGCCGTCCAGAAGCCGGGGACTGATCTGCCTCGCCCGGGAAGAGCGCAATGATGGTGCCAACTTGGGCCAGTGAAGCAACGTCCTCCACAACTAGACTGAAGAACAAAATGACAGCAACTTGTCTGTTCCCCTTCCCCCAATTCCCCAGCACTGTTCCCATCCCCCCAATTCCCCAATAAAAAAATCTTTAAAAAAAAAGTGAAAAAAAAACCATAGTCCACACCTTAATGATAAATGAATAACTATAATACCCCCAAAAAACTACACCTTTTCCTTCTTAGCCCTTTAAGAAAAGCATGAAACTATTCCCCCCCCAAAAAAAATCCTCGATTGTAAAAAATAGCATGAAATTCGTATGTGAACTTGTGACAAGTGTAAACCACTCTAAAATTGTGAATAGGCTTGGAAATCATTTCTCCCTCCTCCCCACTCCCACAGTCTGAGTCACCAGCCCACTCTCTCACTCATCACTTCCTGCTTGGCGAGTTGCACGCGTGTCTTATCTCCATGACGATGCTTCGAGCCCTGGGAGAGTGGGGCGTGTGTCCGATTCATCGCGGCACCTGCAGTAGCCCCTGCCGGAGGAGGGATGGTTGAAGATTGACAAACAATGAACGGATGGCACCCTCCAGAGGTGCCTCTCCCTCCCATCAGCACATATAGTTAGCACGAATAGGGTTTTATATGGTAAAAGAAAAAGAAACCCAAGAGAACATAAAGGGAAGTTAGAGAAAAGTAAAGCAGTCAATCAAACATCAGCTTCCGAAAGAAAGAGACAGGTTGCTTGCTGCTGTATATCTAATTCCACGCTGAGCTCCAATCTCATGGCCTCAGAGCCCACGTAGAACTAAGATGGCCCATAGTCCTGAGCACAGCTGAGCAGCCAGGGATCACCAGCGTAAGCCTCAGGCTTTGCAAGCAAAGGAGGACCGTGGAGACCCACATGCCCAGCAAAACCAATAATGTTCATGGAAGAGAGGCTGCAAACTAAACTCAACCCCCCTGGTTCGGCATTCAAGGCTCTCCACACCTCCTCCTTGGGCACCTGCAAACTTTCTAGACATTCTCTCTGTCGGGGGCCTGCCCTCTTCAATCAGTCTTGCATGTAGCTGCTAGGAGAATCGCTTCAGATACCAAGTGTCTCGTGTCTCTTCTTTGTTAAACGACTTCCAAGAGGTTCCTTTCATCCCTGTCATCAAATAGTTCTCCAGCCTGAACGTCCAGGCGTCTTCATCGCGCCCGTGTTGGGACCCCGCTCCCGGCAATCCTGTATTTTTCTGTAGACTCTTTCTGGGACTGATAACCCCTGTGCTTCTCAGCAACAGCTGACATTTATTTACTCAGGGCCAAGCACGGTGCTAATGTTGCTGGTGGATTATTTCCCTTAATCCTCCCATCAGCAGATAAGGAAACTGGCTCGCAGAGAGGTGAAGTCCCTTGGTCACAGCCATGAAGCGTGTAAGGTGGAACTGGGGCTTGAAGCCAGGTGAGCCCAGCCAAGATGGCCCGCTGACTTCCTCCCTCCACACCGCCCCAACCTTGCTGTCCTCAGACCGGACCCAAGACTTCTTCCAAGAAGTGCACTCTGGTGAACGGGTGCCCGCTCCGACTCTCCACCTTGTGCTTACGTGCTGCTGGCTTGTGGCGTGGAGCCGTCTTGCTGTGTCACAGGCTCCCAAGTCCATCCCTGCAGGGAGGGAGTCCCACCACACCTCACATGGCTCTGAGCGCCAGCGTCAGCCACCATCCCTCCTTGCTGAGAGCATGCTGGGAGTCGAGGGGACTGTGGTGGCCTGAGGGCCTGGCAGAGCCCCCAGGCCACCCACCCAAGACCACGTCAGAGCCGAGATGGGGTGGGTGCACGCCATCTTGGGGATCAGAGGGGGGCACCATCTGCCTACGTAGCCCCCCGTGGCCATGGTCAGATGAGCAGACATGGGCCCGGCCCCCAGGAAACTGGCAGAGTCAACCAGCCAGGGCGCCCTGAGGGTACCCACAGAGCATCGCTGGGGAGGGGCAAGCAGGTAGAAGGGCAGGGAGGCGTCTTACCAGCTTTTGGGAGGCCTTGTCTGCTCTTCAGATGGCCTTGGAGTCCAGGCACGCAGGCCCTGTACGGACAATTATGAGAAGGCTAATGCCTCCCCCTCTAGTTGCTGGTAGTGGACTCAGGTTGGGGCTGGACAGCCACCCATGAGGTGCTCACGGGTCTATCGAGCCAGGCTCTCGTGAGTGACGAAGGCTGCACCTGCACCTCTCACCTGGCCCCGCACACCTGCTATTCACCTGGCTACCCCACCTCTGCGTTCCATCTTTTCAAGCATCTTGCTCACCACCTGTCACCGTGCCCAGGAGCCTGGAATCACTTCCGAGGCCTCTCAGACCAAGTCCAAACCTCTCACCGGGGAATTCAAGACCTTCCAAAATCCGAGCCCTGGTTTCCAAAGCCACCTCGCCGCCAGCTGCTGGAGCCCAGGTGTTCTCCTCTCGCTGAAACTTCCTCCTCCTCACCCCCAAGGCACACAGCAGTTGCCCCCACCTCTCTGAGGCTGAGCAGAACAGCGAAAAGAGCATGGGCCTTGCTTTGCCTACTTCCTGTGTGTCCTCGGGCAAGTCACTCAAAGCCTCTGTGCTTCCAGCTGCCTACCTGTGAACATACTTTACAGGATGTTGTGAGAATTAGAGTGTTTGTATACCAAGTGCCAGCCACGCAGTAGGTTGTGCTGTGTGACTCCCAGTAGGACAGTGGGAGCCAATAAATGGTGTCCATTACATCGTGCCCCAGGGGTTCCCCGACTCATGGGCCGCCACCTCCTTGCTGACTAACAGCTTCTGCCTCCTTGCAGGCCCATCTCCAGATGCTCTTGTACCTACAGCCTTTTCTGCATACCTGACCTAGGGGACAGGGGAGGAAAAACAACATTTGCCGATTTCCCACTGGGCACTGGACCCTGTGGGGCGGGGATAGCACAGAAGACAGTAACTGACATCTTCTGGGGGCCTCCATGTGCCAGACCCCATCCCCAGCACGTCCCCAGTGTGTGTGTTACATAGTAAGTTCCTTGGTAACCCAGTTCTGTGGATGAGGGTTCCTGCCTGGCTTTCTGTTCAATCTGTGGGATGGTTTGGTGTCCCACCTCAGTGTCCCCATCCGGTGGTCTCCAAGGAGCCGACAGGGAGGTTTTATCCAAGGAGTGATATCCCAGCAGGATAAAATGCAGAGCCCCTTGGGTGCCATTCAGGCTGACCCTGGTGGAGAACATTCTGAGAGAGGATACTCCGTCACCTGCCCTGCCACCCCCAGGCAGCCAGGCCCACCCACTGCCCTTGAGTGGGACCCTGGTTTTCACAGGGTGTTCTTGAGGCCTGGAATGCACACCCCCTGGGCTACCAGGAAAACTTAAGCCTCTGGCTAACCCTCCTACTTTTGGGACAAAGGTCACCATCCCTTCCCTCCTGTCCCCAAGGTGCCTCGTCCACCCACTTACCGACCTTTCTGCAAATGTCTGCATCCTTGAGTCCTGTTCGTCTCTGTAGGACAGCACCAGGCACACAGCAGGCCTTGGTGTTTGGGAGTGCAGGGAGGGCGGAGAAGAACGGAAGGCATGGACATCGGGCAGAGGGAATGGTGGATGTGCGTTTCCAGCTGGATCCTCCCAGGGTGGGGCGGCCATGAGGCCTCAGAGGTACAGACGGCGCCTCTGTGAAGAGCCGGCCGCCCCTGGAAACAGCTCCGCGAGCCGGGCTGCCGACAGGCCCCCTCCAGATACCAGGAGGTGCCAGTCTTGGGGAGCCATCAACTTTCAGGAAATTGCTAAATGTATTTGATGACTTTATTTAATTTTTTTGACATTTCCCCTGTTTAGGAGCTTGTGATTTCAAATTAATCACATCCACATGCATTTAGACTGTCGGCTTGAAAAGGAAAGTCTAAATTTTATTACTGCATGATTTCACCCAAAGCTATTTCACCAGCACCAAAAGGAAGTCTATAATATGGTGCAAATCATGACACAACATTTTAGCTCTGGGACCAAGCGTGTGGTGGGGGCTGGGCGGGCAGCGTGGTGGCACCTTCTGTCCCCTAAAGAGATCTGGGTGTCGCCATCGCTGCTGGCTCTGCCTTAGCAAATGGCCTCGTTTCTTTCCCCACCCAGGTTTGCCCACTGCCCTTACTCTCGGAAATGACAGTTCCACCGACTAACTCGTGTCTTCCCCTTGGCAGGTACCATGACCAGCAGGACGTAACTAGTAACTTTCTGGGTGCCATGTGGCTCATCTCCATCACATTCCTTTCCATTGGTTATGGGGACATGGTGCCCCACACATACTGTGGGAAAGGTGTCTGTCTTCTCACTGGCATCATGGTGAGTACCTGCCTCTGCCCGTGACCCTTCCCCACCCCCCCCCGATTTGTGCATGGAGCAGAGCTCCTCCTCGTGAGCACAGAGGGGACTTCCTGGCCAGGGCATGGGGCCAGCTCCTAGGCCACAGGCCAGCACACGTGTCTCTGCACCTAGAAAGGCAGGTGTGAGATCTGCAATGGTTTCTCACTGTTTAGTTTTCTTTTTCAGGATAGAATAGGTCCTGGTAGTTCCTGGTCTCTTCACAGCCCGCCAGAAACGGGCTGGGCAAAGCTGGCAGTGGGTCTGACCCACCTCCCACCCACTGCTGCCCGACTGCCCAGGTTGCTCGTCCCCCGTGAGCATCAGGGCTTGCAGTTAATTGTCCTTCCTGTCCCCTGGTCCCCTTAGACGTTGGCAGCACACCTGATAAAGCTTAGCTGTGGAGCTCACGGAGGCAGGGACTGGGGAAAGAACACTGAACCGGCCATCTGAGACCTGTGTCCTGGACTTACTGGGCCACTGGTTTGGCTCCACGGCCATGGGCCAGTCCTTGACTTCCTTAGATTCTGGCTCCCACATGTGTGTTGGGGTGCTGGACGCTGAGTGCCAGGTCCTTCCCAGCTCTGGTGTCAGCTGGACTGGGATTCTACCCCCGTCTCTCCCCAGGTGCCCAGCAGCTGGACTGCATCCCTTCAGGGTGCGTTTCTCCCACGCATCACCCTGCCACCCTCACCCGCACACGCGCTTGCCCATCGCATGGCCGTCGTAGCACTGTGTATGACAGGGACGGGGACCGGGAGTCAGAACGTCCGTCCTCACTGAGGACCCTGGGCAGGGCACCTGGCTTGCTGGACCTCAGCATTGTCCTGTAAAGTGGGGACAGGAGGCCTGCCCCGCCCTCCTCCTGGTGGTGGTGATGATGATGGAAGCAGTGCTTTATGTCACCATGCTTTGTCGGCATGAGGAGCTGCACACGCTGGCAGGGGTGGCAGGGTCCTCAGTGTCCCTGACCTCCACTGCTCTGTCCCTGGCAGGTGATGAGGCCCCTTGGGCTTCTTGGGCTTTAAGCCCCAGGACAGTCAACCTTGGCCCCCCTTCCTTTCCTAGAACCCCAGAACACGGCTCGAAGAAGAAAGCACCCACCTCAGCCTGGGGATCGCTGGGGTCGTGGTGGGGGTGTGGGGTTGGGCAGGATGTCTGTGCCCTGTCCTAGGTCTCCATGGGTGGTCACCACAGCCTCCCCAGGGGAGCCCTCTCTGCACCCTATTGTACTTCCTTGAAGTTCCGTCCTTTCAGTGCCCCCACTCAGATTTCATTCATTCCCCTGGAGGGAAAAAGACCCTCCTTTGAAAATGGGTAGGACTTTTTTCTGCAGTGGAAAGGCGGTTGACTCCTGGACAGGGTGGGGGCTGCCCCCCTCCCACCCACTGTGGCCTGGTGGGCCCCTGGGACTGACCTCAGTGACAAGGCAGCCGGACTTGGGTCACTCAGAGCAGCGGAGGCCCTGGGGTGAGAGGCCTGGGCAGCAGCCCTGTGAGCAGGAGGGGTCCAGAGCTGCCCTTTCAGGGCTGGGCACAATCCTCTCCCCTTTCTCACTAAAATCCGGGGCAGGTGTGCCCCAGCAGGCAGGTCCCAAACGGCCGCTAGCAACAAAAGGCTTAGCGCCGGGGCTGGGATAAACCAGGGTGAGTGGAAGGCCTTGGAACAAACACTGCCCGACGGTTAGTAGGAGTCCGTGTGGCACAGCTCCAGCTGTCACCAGGAAACCAGGGAACGATTCTTTCTTCCAGAAAGGAATGAAATGCCACCCAGAGGCCAGAGCTTTCCTGTCTTAGAGCTGCTCCCGGCGTGTGGGCTTCGTGCTTCAGAACCTGCACTCACCAGGGCCACACAGAGCAGGCGGCCAATAGGTGGATGGGCCCTGGCCAATAGGTGGATGGACCCTGTGGGGACCCTCTGTTGTTTTTGTTTGAAATACTGGCCATTCTCCCTCTAGCGGGAGCTGTGCCCCATCCAAGAAGCAGCCCCAGAGCCACCATTTCCTTGGTCCCTTCTCTCCGGCATCTCCTGGCTGCTACCCTGACCAAGCTGAGTAGGACAGGCAGGCCCCATGGCCCCCTCCCTGCCTTCTCGCTGGGGTGTGGTCTTCAGCACCCTTTTTTGCTCCTGGTCTGTAGCAGCCCCTTAGAAGGGAGTGTTTGTTCCTGGTGGAGAGAGGCGCCACCCAAGTGGGAAGGGCAAACGGGTGACCAGGGACCGATACCACCTCCCGACAACACAGGCCCTCTGTTCACTTTCTCCTTTTGCAGGGACCCTGTGGCACAAACCTGTCCCTCTCTAGGGATGGGAACAGGGAGGTTTCCTCCATCCAGGTCAGTGTTTTTACCCAAATTAGAGCCAGTAGCCTCCCTCTGGGGTCAGCCACCGCGAGGGAACCCCGGTGGCGTTTTTTCTAACAAATGTGGCTTTTCCAGCTGAGTCACTCCTTTCACGGGTTTCCAGTGGCTGAGAATCCTCCCCTCCCCTCCCCCAGCCTCCCAGCTCTGCGTAGATCTCCTGATGATCATTGCAAGCGCCTTAACTCAAGGTATGGCTTCCTGTTTGGTTACCATGGACACCGTGCAGGCCAAGACAAGGCCTGCTTGGGAAGGGGAAGGAAGGATTTTGTGTGTGCGGGCTGTAAATAGTCTTAATCATTGTTTTCTCTTGGCAATCCCAGTAACGGTGTAATTATCAACCATTAAGCAGGGTGTATAATTGTCTGAACAACTTGACATTGTTGGCACGGTCCTGGTGTGTCGGAGAGATTTCACCCACAAAAGCAGATTAAATCAAAGTCCGGCGTCTTTCCGTAGAATTCCAGAGAATTTTATGGTGACAGTTGCAACGCAGAGAGAAAGCTCTCAGTAGTTAGGATCCAGAATAGGAAATGACAACGAAACCCCCAGAGGTGACTTTTGAGGCACTTTAGTTCTGCAGGCATCTGGACGCACTCTGGGGTCCCCAAGACGGCGTGGTAGGAGCCCTGTTTCAATAGAGCCTTTTTTTTTTTTTTCTAAAGCTGGATTCTCTCTGTGAGCCCTTTGCGAGCTAGGGACAGGTAGACAAAAGCTTCCAGGATGTCCGCTGGGGACACTGAGGTTTTTTTCCCCAAGGCTTCATGAGAGGTGCTTCTTTGCACCGCGAAAGGAAAGTGATGAGGAAGGAAAACCTGCACAAACTGAGTTATTATTGGAGGAGGGAACAAGAGGGCTCAGCTAGACGTCTGCTTAATGTCAGCTTCAGAAGATGAGCTTCTCCCTGAAACACCTTGGTTTCCAAGCAAGTGATGTTATTGTGGTTGTTACACGGACGCTGCCACTGCTGCAAATCGTCCAGGCTTCCCTCCTCCATTTGTCACTTTCATTTATGTTTTATTTTATTTTATGCTCCTTTAGTTGAGAACGCCTCATACTTTTCCCCTTGCGGTACTTGTTTTTCCAGACCCGAAGCTTTTCCAGCTGGAAAATGTTTCTTGGGAACAAGAAGTGGGTGGACTGGTGTTGGAGGAGCCTGGGTCTCTGATTTGGGTCCAAATCTATAGATGAATTAGGCCTGTTCCGCCCCCCCCCCATGCCAGCTACCCCTGCTCTGCTCACTGCTAGGCTCCTGTTCACCATCTACCTTGGACATATGGCCTCATTAGAGGGGGACCCCCACCTCACCCCACCCCCATGGAAATAGGAGTTTGGGCAGAGAAGACCCAGTCATCCAGCTGGTGTCACCTGGGATTCAGGGCTTGGCGTATCTGAAGGCAGAAGTCTGCATCATGGGTTATCTCCACGGTCTGAGCCCATGGAAGCCGTCCAAGCAGCTGCTTACCCGTTCCCGTCCCACCCCAGCCTCCCCTCGCATGCCCCATCTGCCCACCAGCCATTTCCGGGATTCCACGCCAGGACGCCATGCTCCCTCACGCCCCACATCAGCCATGTCCTTGGCAATGTGTGTCTTAAAACCAGCCCTCATCACTGCTACATCCCACAGATTTTCCCAGGCTGCTCACACGGGAACCCCAGCCTGCTAAGCTGTCAGGAAAAAGGGTCCTCATCCCAAGAGGAACCTAGGTGATCATTACACGTCCAGGTGAACCCAACAGGAAGAGAGGGTTCCCTTAGCACCGCCTCTATGTCCTCTAAAGAGCCAAAGTTGACCATTAACTGTTGCCTCAAGCCTTGGGCTCCTTGTCCTTCTTGCCGTCCTCTCTCAATCCCATCAGCCCGTTCTTTTCCATTATACCTCTGCTTCTTCCTTCTGCCTTTCCTTGTTCTGTCCCTTGTCGTTCAGGATGGAGCACAACTTTTTCTCTGTCTCAGTCTCCACTCCAGCGCTGTCTCTCTACATCCCCCCCCCGTCCTCTCTCACACACACTCTGGAGAGGACCACAGTCTGATCGCAGCACCTGCCCACCACTTTCTGAAGATTGCTGATGCGTGACCCCATCTTTACAAGGTTGCTCCTTCATGGAGATGACCAAGTTAAGCTTTCTTATGGGCTGCTTCCCTGATTACATCCAGAGGATGGAGTCTTAGAAAAAAGAAAAATAAAGTTGAGGGTACGCACTGCTCGCTATTCACGTTAGAATTGGGGGTTATGAACCCAGCACCCTCCACAGAGATATCCACAAGGGGGTCTTGACATCTTTAAGGAGAAAGAAAGAAGTTTATCTTAATCATATGAGATAGAACGTTCCTTAGTTAAAACATTCTAGCTCCTCATCAGAAACCCCTGCATTCAAGCGGCTAGACTGTGAGCTGTGGCAGGACCATGGAGCACTCCACCCTGACCCTGGAAATCCGGGATGGTGGATGAGAGATTGTTTTGATGAAATTCCCAAAGTGGCACGGTGAGCTGGATGACTCCCTCTTCCGGCTCATTCTGCCCCCAGCTTCCAGGGGTGATTTAAGTAGAGTTTTGCCTGGACCCAGGGAGATGAGGGAGAATGGAGCCTGGGCAGAGCCCTTTCCGTCTGATGTTCCCTTATTAACACGATGATCTATTCCTCTTTTTGGGGCTTTCAGCCCAAAGTACCTTTGGAGCACCACATAAAGGAGAGAGATTATAGTGGGTCTGGTCGAGGGGAAATGGCGCACACATCTGGCCTCTAGGATAGCTTCTTCTAAGCTATTTCTGCTTTGGGAGGCCAGGCTAAATTGATTACAGCTACAGCTGTCCAATGGCCCATAAGTATCCTTTGAAAATCCGGCAGAGTCTCCCATAATTCACAGATGCCAAGAAAACATGGCCGTCCCCGGAACAAGAGAGGAAAATGAGGTCAGAAAAGGAAAGTTTACACAGACTCGGTTTTTTCTGGTCTGTTGTGCTAGCCACGGGTGGCCAAAGGGTGGCTGACCAAATGACCAGCTGTACCAAGAAACACGAGATTGTTTTCATGGGAACCCTTGTGAAAAGCTAGGGGAAGGCGTAGCCCGCGTCAGCCATGCCCAAACCTTTGCCCACCTGTGGAAAAGGAAAGAGATTACAAAGGAGACAGCAGGGGCCTGAGCTACCCATAAGCACCCCTCCCGCTCTGATACAGGTTATGTGCCTTTGAAAAACTTCCTCACAGTTTCTAACACATACAGTTAGACCTCATGAGCCCAAAACATTATTGATGGGTTCCTTCAGTCCTGGGACCTCAACTGCTAAACTTACGGTTTGGCACCTAAGGATTAGACTGGACTTTGCTGAGCTTATCGTCTCTTCCCATGAGTGGAGGTCAGGATGGTCCGGGGCCCAGCTTGCAGGCAGAGGGTAAAGGCTGTGGAGGAAGGGCGTTCTCTCCTAAGAACCGGGCAAGGGCAGGGCTGACTTCTGGGGAGCAATGCCCACCCCCTCCCCATCCCCCAAGCAGTGCTCGCAGGCCAGTCGAGAAGCACAGTCACGGGGGCTTGAAAACCCATTGGGACAATGTTCCAGAGAGCCACTTCCCTGCCCTGTTCGCTTCCCCAACAGTACAGCATGTGCCCAGAGGATTCGGAGAAAGAAAGTGAGTCCTGGGAACCCTGCCTCTTTTACTCACCCTCCCCCGTGCTCCCGGGATTGGACCTACCCGGGCAGAATAGGAGCGCTGCTCTGGAAACCACTGACGGCCTCCTGCGGTTTCCCTTCAAGTCCTCCTTTGAGGCGAGAGTGTTGTCGTCTTCAAAATCCCTGCATGAGGGTGAATTCAGGAGCCTCCTGGCGAAAGCAACAAAGAACCGCTTCCTTGTGCTGAGTCACAGCCTAGACCATCAGGGGAAATGGCCCAACCCGACTGAGGTGCAAGCACAGTCGAGGGGACAGACTCCTGCTGACCGGTGCTCCCCTGAGGAGTGATCTCAGGGGGAAATGTGTTGCCCCTTTATTAGATTATTTTTAGGAAAACTTTCTGCCACCAGCAGCTGTTCCAGCCACCCCCCAGGTTACGTGTGGGCTTCTTTCCAGGGCTCCCTGTTCTGGAACAGGCAGTGGGCTTGTCTGGGACATGCATGCGGGAGAGGGGGCCTTCTGTCTTCCCTGCACAGCCTGGCAGATGACCAGGTGAAACTCCCCAAAGCCTCAGCCCCATCAGGGTCCTGCTCCACTAAGAACTGGCAAGTTCTGTGGAGTCTCCCAGAGGCCGGCTGTGCAGCTAAGCCAGGAGCTCTGTAGACCCCTTTGTCGGCATGGGAACCAGGGCCCCCGACAGGTTTATGGCTCTGACCAGCCAGAGAGCTCGAGTCCCCACTCCACTCCTGGAGCCGTCATGGGGGGGCACGTTGGGTCTGCTGCTGGAACCTTGTCTCTGGATTAATATGCTCTCTCCCCTGGTCCCCTTGCTGTCCCCCCACAGGGTGCGGGCTGCACTGCCCTCGTGGTGGCCGTGGTGGCCCGAAAGCTGGAACTCACCAAAGCGGAGAAGCACGTTCACAATTTCATGATGGACACTCAGCTCACCAAACGGGTAAAGCGCCACTGTCCACGCCTTCACGGGGGACATCAGAGAGAAAGTCATCACGCAGTGTCGGTCAGGGCTGCACCTTCCCGGGAAGGGTTCAGGGAGCCCATATACCTGCAAACAGCCTCCACAAAACACGCAGGCCTCAGCATGGTAGCCTTCTGTCCGTTGTCCCATCCCTGTGCACAGTCCAGGCGAGGACATCATTTTCCTGGGAATTAGTTCCATAGCAGACCATGGGGTTACCCGCCCCCTCGCCGAACAGTAATTGAATACATCACCCAGCATGGAGCAATGGTTTTGTTTATGCTCAAATATTTTCATGAGTCTCATTAGGAAGGGCAGTGGAGAGTCTTAAAAACGATGTTGGAAATGTATCTAAATCCAGTCCTTTAAAAAAAAATCATTAAAGGCGATCCTGACTGTTGAACCCACGTCCCTAAATCATATCATTATCCAGCGTTCCTCTTTTGGGTTTCCCGGATAACGTGTCTCACTTGTACCCTTACGGAAGTGGTTCGGCAGGATGAAAGCTGAAAATGTGCAGGGCTGTGGAGGGTGTTTAGCGGCAGAGAGTCTGATGCCCCACTGAATTGTCAGGGAAGAAAAGGCCCGTTTAGAAGATACAGAAAGAAGCCTGCCAGGATGACGGCGGGCAGGCAGAAGCTGTTTATTTTCTGACAGCTCTCATGGAAGGAACACTCTTCAGAGCTGCAGGTGGAACGAAGGTCAGCGGTAGGATTTTCTGCAAAATCCTCCTCTTTCTGATAGGAGAGAGAACCCCAACCCTGTGTGGGGGTCTTGGCCACCGTAGCAGGTCCTCATTTAGGACAAGAGTGGGTTAGAGGGGCCCATGAGCACCCCGATTTCGATTTGGGGTTTTGCAAGCTAGAGAAGAGATGCTGTGATTAGTGGCAGTGCAGTAGAAACGTGTCAGAAATAGACAAAGGCAGGAGGGGAGAACAAAGAGTGAGGGAGAACGGCAGTGCAAGCAAGCTCTTGGGAAGGCGGCAGGGAGCGTGCAGTGCCAAGGCCTCTCTAGTTCCGCAGCAGAATTATTTATGGCGCTTGATTGTTTGGTCTTTGATTCCATGGGCTGGATTCTCTGTAAAGAGCCTGCACAGATGTTAAAAGGAGCGGTACAGGCAAATATTCTCACACTGTGGACGTACAGATGGTCGTTTCGTTAGGACGTGGCTGGGAGGCCGTAAGCATTTGATTCTTGTTCATATCTGTTTGTGGTCACATTGGTTCCACGACTGTCGTGTCATCGTAGTTCCAAGAGCCTATTGGCAACGTTGCGGACTTCTTGTATCTGGTACATGGTGGCCCTGAGTTGTGCGTCGTACAGAGGAAACATAATTTGTAGCATCCAGATGTCAGGATCGGTGGCGTACCCCTGGGGAGGGCAGCCCGGTTTCACCCACCACCCCGTCACCCGGCCACCCTCCTTCTGCCCCACAGTACACAGGCAGAAGTCACGCCCGGTACTGAGCAAATGACAGCGTGATCAGAACACCTAAATGCAAATATATTTGTATCTATTCTCTTGCAACAAGCTAGTGCAGCCGTGAGGGGTGAGAGGGTTTTTTGCTTCCAGAACCTTCTCAGAAACTGTTTCCTTAGAGCTGAGACATTAACGGCCTCTGGGTTCTGGCTGGCTCTTTGAAACCAAGGATATATTTGTATTTCATGTTATTCCTTTGTCCTCTCCATTTTTCACTCTGTAAATTAGGCTCTCGAGGAAAATAAAGCCGGGGCAAGCCACCTCCCTTATATGTCAGGAAAATAATTTTTCTGCAGTATAATTGTAGAAGGAGATGAGATTATGGTTGCGAGTTTCCATCTTTCAGAAATAATTCTCTACCATCCTGCTCAAGTCCACTTACTGTTTGAGAAGTTGGACTGAAAATGAAATCCACAAATATTTATGGCTCATTCATCAGGGCCAGGCACCTTTTTAATCGAATAACGTCTCTTTTCTGAGAACACTTAAATCTGTTGAAATGTCCCTTGAATGCCTAGTATCTTTCCCCAGAGAAACAAAACAACAGAAAAAGGTGGTTCTCTTAGAGGAAGGGTTTTCAAAGCTGGTGGGACTGGGACTCCCAAGGGTTCTGTGACATAACCTTGACTCAGAAGAGACTAACGGGCCTGCTCTGGTTTGTGCTCACCTTGACCTGCTCAGAGCAGCCCACCTTTCTTCCTCTGGGGATGCCTCGTCTACCCTCTGCCCTCTCCAAATAGCCCAGCGTGTCTAGCTGGAGTAGCTACGGGTCAAAGGGATGTTACACTCAGTCTACTCATACAGACCTCTCCAGAGTGGACACTTCGATTTCACAGATAAAAGCCGTCTCTCACAAGTACATGCCACCTTCATTCTTCAAACACCTAAACGAAAAACAAAAAAGGAGGAATAGTAACCTATTAATCATTAAAACCCTCAGATTGTTCTAGGGTTTGTTCACCCCCTCTGTCTTGCTGTAAAGGCTTCAGCCTGGTATTTACCATGAGTCACACTATTTTTTTTATTTTTTTTATTGGTGGGGGGTAGGGGTGTCTGATCGCACAGGGTGAGAACTCAGTGTCTGGTTTTCCTGAATCCCCGGGCTTTTCTTCTTTCCCTTTGTATAACTTGTCCACCCTGATGGCAACGTCACTTCTGTACTTGATGCCATCAGATCTGCTCACACCAACGTGGCAGTGTTCCTGCCCTTGTTACCCTATAATTATAATGTATTGCTAACCTCTGGGCGACTAGGTGACATGTATGTAAATGGCACACCGAGAGACAAAAAAGATGCTAGGTCCCCATGTTTTCTCCTGCTCAATGCTCCGTGTCCCCATCTCTCTGTTTTATGTCAGTCACCCACTGGACACCACACTTTGTGCTCTGCGGACACCAAGATGGGGAAGAGGTGGTCCCTGCCCTCAGAGAGCACCTCTCCTTTGTAAAAGGCAAGATGGGCTGCCCACGGACTCACTGGGCTTAAAAGACACCATGGACAGGAGACGGCCTGTCCACCATGGCCACTCGCCATGTCTGACCTTCACACAGCCCCGCGGGGCGTGTCACTGGCTGAGGACTGTGTCTTTTTGTTCTTGCCGCGAGGGGCTCTTGTTCCAAATATTTCATCCAAGTACATTTCCCCATGAAATCAATGAGTAAGACCAAAACCACACCCTTATCTTCCTTAAACTGGCTCCTTCTCCTGATTTCCCTGGTCAGCGAATGCCTTTGCTATTTTTCCGGTCTCCAGCCCTGATAACATAGCACCATCTCTGACTCCCCTCTGCCCTGGGACCCACAGGGGTCCACGCAGTTTCCAAGCCTGCCTTGACCTTGGCATGGCCGTGGCTGTTCATGCACTCCAGCCTCTCCAGGCCCTCTGCCCCACTGTGCATAAAGCCACTGTCATGTGCATCGTGAACCATCGTAGCGGCTTGCTGCCTTCTCCCCCCCCCCCCCCCCCCCCGCATGGCCTCCCTTACTCCAGACATCCTCCTCTTTGCTTCCATATGGATCTCCTGAGACTCTAAGACTTAGCTCTGAACATGTCAGCACCCAACTCAAAAACCTGTGTAGCCCCCCAGTACCGAGGGAACAGTGCTAAAGAAAACTTTTCTTTCATTATGAGCATATGTCAAAGTTTTATTACAATCCCGCTGGAAAAAGAAATTTTTTTTCCCAGCAGACTAATTCAAAGATTTACTCAGAGGAGGGTGTTCTATAGGAAAGGACAAGTGGCCACTGTTATATCAGGTGCAGAAAGTCTGGCTAAAGGATGCCAGACTCCTGACCGATAGCTGGCTGGTCCCAAGAGTGGATTCCCAGAACAGGTCTTACTCTCTTTAAAATTTATCACATAATCGATTGAGCAGTTATCGGGAATGCTAATTCTCCCCAGGAGGGGACTGTAAATTCTATTACCCACACATATCCTGGCCCAGACAGGTTGGGACAATAGCCACAGAAGCATTGAGCCTCTAAGCTGGAAGGATCCTTAGGGACGTGCCTCCCAGGTCCAGAGACGGGTGGGCGAGGCTGGCCCGGCCGTGTGCAGCGAGCTGAGTCCCAGCCAGGGCTGCGGTTCGTTCTCAGGCAGCTCTCCAGCCATCGCCAGTTGGGCTTACTAGAGCAGTCACTTCCTTGAAACTCAGCGTGGTGGTTAGGGTCCCAGGCCCGCTGGAGAGAAAAGCCACTTGACCTCCAAACTCAGCAAGCATTACGTGAAGAGCGTTATAAAGCTAACCACCACTCACTAGCGTGTTGCTATGGGGAAAGCTTCAAGTCCCTGCTAGCTGTGGGGGTGGAGCCCCCAGTCCAGGGATGGCTTCCACGTGAGGTGGACAGAGCAGCCTATAAAGGGAGTATGGGATAGGATGGAGGAAGGAAGGAGAGAGGATATAAGAGGGACATGAAAGACAGGGCAGCTGCAGGAAAACTGAGGGTCTCAGGGGAAGGGAGAGAGGGGTTGGCAGAGAGGGAAGACGGGGCAGCCCTTTCCCCAGCTATGTATGTAATGGATACCTGCAGTCAAGTGTCTGGAGACAGAGCCAGCTTTAGGGTCTCGGATTGTGATGTTCACCAGCCCTTAGTTGACCTAAATTCAACCTGTGGAGCTCCTTGAAGTTAAGCCACACCCCATTGCATCCCACCGCCCTTCCAGGACTCCTGGCAGCATCGTGGGCGTGCTAATGATTTCTCCCCTGGACGGTCGGTCCAGCCACGGGGCTCCTGGAATGATTCTCCCAGTTCTCCCTGGGGCTGCTGGAGGCATGGGGAGTCCAAGAAGTGTGCTTGTCATCCTGTCCCGGTGCTCCTCCTGCAGCCGACCGCCCCTCTATAACACCAGGCGGCACTGTACCCTGGCAGAGAGGAGGCCAGAGCAAGCCATTGACATGGGTGATATGGCCAAGAGCTCAAGGAACAGACATAGGTGTTCTACCTGTTCTCTTTTGTTAGGGAGGGAGGGAGAGAAAGAAGCTGACATTTACTGGGTGTGGGGGGAATATTAATAAAGCTACCATGTGCTGATGATTACTGTTGCTCGGCTCTGGGCTCCGTGTTTTCAGTGTATTCTCATTCCATCAACACCACAGACCCGTTTCACAGATCAGTACCACTGTGGCACCTCCAGACACCCCCTGCTGTGTTTTCCCTGGAAGCACTTCTTACCGGGTGCTCTCCTACAAACTGCACCCTCTCTCCACTCAAGTATGGACCCCGCGTGGGAGGCATGGTACCGGTGTGAGCGTCGCGGCATTCTTCGCTTCCTGCCACAGTGCCTGCCCCATCGTAGGGCTCTTTGAATGTTTTTTTCGGGAAGGAAAAAATTGAGTCCCAGAAAGTTTCACTCATAGTCCAAGGAAGAAATAATAATTGCATCCACTTGTGAGGTTTCCAGGAAGGCTTATGAAATGCTGTAAACACGAAGCGGTTAGCACAGAGCCTGGCACACAGCAAGCACTCAGTAAATGTTACCCGTCACTGTGATTTGTAAGATCTTAGTTGGATGACTTCCTTGCCTAGCCCCATAAATCTTGGATTCCTTTCTTAAGTACGTAGGTCTAAGCCCATTCTTTGGCCCCATCAGAATGAAAGCGTACTATATATATATATATATATATATATATATATATATATATATATATATATATATATATATATATATATATATATTTAAAGCATACAGGGTTTTGTAGAGAACATATAGACACCAAACAATCAGCTCTTACCCTTATGGGTTTGGGGGATGGACCAGCCAGCCTTCCATGCACAAAGCCCTTTTTTCACCATCCCTGAGCCCAGCTGACTGTAGCCAGCCTTGTTCCGTTTTCTCCAGCACCCTGACCTATCCCACCCCCCAGGGGCACCCTGCCCACCAGGAGAGCTCAGAGGGTCCCCAAGCCCCCACCAGGGGTTTGGTGAGTCCCAGGAAGGGCGCACGACCTGAACCGCTCCCCACCCCAGCGGCGCTCAGAGCAATCAGCCGCGTGAACTGGAGGGAGATGCTGGTGACAGTGGCAGTTACTGCCAACCTGGGAAAGCACAGCACAGTTAAAGCCCATTTCTCCTTCTCTTGCAGATATTGATCTTTTAAGCTTTGTGCCAGGCTGTTCGCTGGCAATTCATTTCAGCGTCAGCACCAAGGCTTTCGTTTTACATCACTGTCCCCAATACACCGGGGCCTCCTGTTCAAACCCATCTAAGAGGATGGGACGGCCCCTCTCAGCTGCCCGGGCCGTGCTGCGTGTTTCGGTTCTTCACATCTGGGCTGAACTTAAGGGTAGGACATGGACTCTCTGTTCTGTCATATTCCTCAGCGAGGGCCAAGACGCTTTTAAAAACAGAATCTAACGTCCTCTTCAATTCCTTCAGATCCCATGAAAACCTCATGCTCTCCTTGACCCTGGCCCTTGTTTTGACGTTGCCATTAGCGAGCTGTGTGGTTCTGGCCCGCTTATCCTGTCTCCAAAGCCGTTTCCTCGTGTGTTCGATAGGGGTTCGGGCTACACGGTAACTCAGTACGGTCACCGTTTCCGTAACACTCAGATCCACGTTGACTCAGTTTGCCGTTTGGAACTTGATGGTCTTTCTTGGTCTGTGACTCGACTTATTCGTCTGTAAGAGGGGGGCAATATTAGTACGAACCCGATGGGGTGGTCGTGGGGATTAACGGTTCCCACGCAGGAAGTAACGCACACCTGAGCCTGGTCATGTTCGCTGTTGTCCCATCTTATAGGTAATTAAGCATTTATTCCTCAGTTGCTTAATCATTGGTGGAAACAGGATTCCCCTGCAGGCTTCTCAATGTTTTGCAAACGTTTGTTTCACACCTACGCAGAGACAATGGTCAAAGGCCCATCGGTGTTGACATTCCGTGGTGCTCCACAGAGGACACTCTTGGAGCTGGGGCTCTACTGGTCACCCTAAGTGCCCAGACAGGGTTTTCCCCTCCTGTTCTTCTGTGAGGCTTTCCTTGGGGGCTAAGTAAGCACGAGGGACACTGAAGAGATCGTGCGTCAAATTGCCGTCTTCCTGCAAAAGGCAGCAGGAGTGTGCATCACGCAGAGAGAAAGGGGTCCCTTCTGTGCGGCAGGAGGCTGCTGTCCACTCCAGCCCCTGGACAGAGCCCCAGAAACCACCTCCTCCTGCACTCTCCCCTCCTCCTCACCTGGACACACTATTTCCAGCTCCTGCTCGCTGCCACCTGCTTCCTTTCAAGCAAGGAATCACCAGAGGTGGGCAATTAAGTCATTAAAACCATTTTCATAGTGGATTTTTACTGAACCAAAGAAAAGAAAGAAAAAAAAAGCAATATTTATGTCACTTAGACATTTCTGAGAAGACTTAGCTGTGCTTTTAAAAACATCACTTCAGCGCCCATGAAAAATGTAATCCAGCCTTAGTAATAAATTTTTTAAAACATACACACACACACACACAAAAGTTATCAGCCTGCAAAAAACAATGTTTCCTGGGCCTTCCCACACGTCTCAGTATTTTAACAATGTCCCATCTGTTGATGTCAGTCTGAAGAAACAGGTCTGGACTCTCCAGTTTTATTAAAACCCTTTCTGGCTAGTAACCCGATTTCCATCAGGCTGGCCTAGTTACTTCCAGGCCCCAGGCCTGTGGGCCTGTGCCAATTTGCATGGCTGACAGAAACGGCAACGGTTAACCAAACGTCTGTTGAGCTTGTGCCTAATAAGAAATGTTTCCTCTTGCTCTTGTTACTAATTGCCGAAGATGTCTGTGTTTGGACTAAAACTTTGTCCCCGGCCATCTGGACGTTATGGAAATGTCTCAGCTCAGTCGCCAGCTGGGTGATATCAGTGGTTTCCATGTCAACAGATGACAGCGTCATCTGTTGAATCAGTGTGACTGCAGAGGGAAGGAGCCAGCCTGGGAAAGAGGCAGCTCTCTGGTCTCACCCCGAAATATCTTCACTGATTTTTCAAACGCTATTTTGAAATTATTTCAGTTTCGTGCCGAGTACAGTTCCATGTGAAATTGCAGTGTAAATGTTTTGGGCCATTTGGGAAAGGCAACCAACCGTGGACCTGTTGATACCTAGAGTTCTGTTTGGTGGGAAAGACTTTTCCCCCAAAGAGGACTTTTGAAGTCTCCAGCTGATAGAGAATCTGTTTACTCTCCAAATGCAAGAAACGTACCGTGTGCAGTAAAGGGAAGCTCAGGTAGGGCTAGAGCTCTGCGTGTCAGGGTAGCAATGGTGTGTATTTCTGTCTTCAATGGGTGCCCTGGGCCTCCAGGCCTTGTTAATGCAGCCTGTCTAAATATAGCCTCAGCAGCAGCAATTGAGAGGCAGTCCTGAAATAATTAAGAAGAAACCCATGAACTTCAGGCTCCAGGGTGCTGGGTCCAACGTGGGATTAGCGAGAGATGAATTTTAATCATCCTTTCGAAGAGTTCATGATTTGATTAAGGAAACAGATCATTGCAGACTCTTTTCCTGACACGGGAGAGACTAGATCAGCAAACAGAAAAACAATCCGCTCAGGTGAAACTAGGAAAATTCACCCAGTGGGCAACCTGCTTTTTTCCTCTGGCCTTAGATCAAGAACGCTGCGGCCAATGTCCTTCGGGAAACGTGGCTCATCTACAAACACACGAAGCTACTAAAGAAGACCGACCACGCCAAAGTCAGAAAGCACCAGAGGAAGTTCCTCCAAGCTATCCACCAGTGAGTATGTGGGAGAGCTCGGCCCCCAGGCCACCGAATCAGGCGGCGGGGAGGGGTGTCCCCCACAGCTCTCTCAGCATCTCCTTGCATACTTACAGGCACAGGACAAGCCATTCTCTCCCACTCAACAAGCACTGGAGGGGGGAGGGCGGGGAACGGGACCCCAGTCAGCCTGTTTGTCCATTGGTGGCACCTGCCAGGCATTGGTAAAGCTTAGAGTAAGTGTGCTCAGAACACACACACACACACACACATACACACACACACACACACACACACACCCGGTACAACTCAAAGCAGGGCAAACTGCGGTCAATGCTTTCGCTAAGAGAAGTATTTTAAAAGTACAGTGGTAAAGTAGAGAATGAAAACATTCATTCCGACCTGTAGGTTTAGGAACACCGTGAGAGGTTGGGAGTACGGTGTTCAAGGAGGAAGACGCAGCCCAGAACAAAGCAGGGAAATGATCGGGGAGTAGGGAGGAAACCATGCAATCGTGCGTGGAAACAAGCGTTTGCTTCCTTGGGGAACCTGATGAGCCCTTGATTCTGGTCAGTTGTCCCCATACTGGGTTCCCAAACCAGATGAGCTGATGGGAGTGTGCAATCTGCTTGCGGGCTGAACCTTAGCGCGCACTTGGAGAGCATGGCTGTGACAAGTCTTTCCCACAGACTGAGGAGTGTCAAGATGGAGCAGAGGAAGCTAAGCGACCAAGCCAACACCCTGGTGGACCTTTCCAAGGTGAGTGAAAAAAATCTGCAAACCTCCTAAAGAGATCTCAGACGCTGGCATGTAGACTGCTCAGGTGTGGCTGTGAGGACGGGCCAGGTGCCAAGTGCACAGGGCAAGATAAAGGAAACAAAGAACAATCCCCCCTTGGTTAAAAAACGATCTAGGTTCAAGTTCTTGACGGTTGCGGTCTCCTAGTGTGTCTTTTATAACCTGGCATTTCTTTCTTAAATTCAATCGCTTGAGTTTGTCTTTGCTTGGAATTAACTCACCGCCCTACTAAATCTTTTCAGCGTGTCGCTTTCTTAGCTGTGTGTTGAGGGCTCCTAAGACAAGCTTGAGTTTACACAGGGGGACCGACTGGTGATGGGGGCAGTGATGCTGCCAAGGTCGCACCTGGGAAGATCCTCCCAGTTTGCTGTTATACTTGGCCCTTCATTTTCCTTATAATCCAGCTTTCCTGGCCCCAGATTGGTGTTGGGGTGCATTTCTTTACTTCTCAAGAGGCAGATGGACATGAAGATGCCAAAAACTGAGAGCCCTGCCCCCCTCCCTTTGAAAGCCCCAGAGCTAGATATCGCACTCGTTCTGTGGCTCTGGCACTGAATTGCTGTAAAAACTAGAAGGAAACTCGCTCCTTTTGCAAATCACAGAAGCGAGGGAATCGGAGTCTGTGGTGCCTGCCGAGCTGAGTGTAGGCGCCATTGAAGATAGGGTTGCCCCCCCTCTGCCCCTTCAACTCACTGCCTCTCCATAGAAATTGTGTATCAAGTGTACAGCCCAGGGCCAGGCTGGCAGAACGTCCCAGCAGATGTCAATTATCCTAACGGCACATGTTCCCTGGGTAAGCAAGAGAAACTCCCTCAGGCAAATTAAACACCCTTTGAAAAGAGGGTGTAATCAGAGAAATTGTCGGGTGTTGGGCCACACACGTGCAAGCGACTTGTTTAGTGAAGGGATCAAGCCAAAGAAAGGGCCTCCCGAGCCAGGGGTGGGGGGACCTCCAATCAGGGACTGTGTGGCTTGCTGGGGAGAAGCCACAGGCCCATGTGCCTTTGGAGGGGGTGCTGAGGAGGAGTGAGGGCTCCTGAGAGCCTGGAGGAGGGGGCATGCGCGGGGAACGCTGGAGTGCAGGAGGGAACCCCTTGGCGTCTTCAGTGTGTCCAGTACCAGAAACCCACAGGGACTCAGTTTAAAAATGGAGGCATTTATTCGTAGGATCCCAGCCAGTCTCATTGCAGGCAGAGCCTCAGAGTAGGCACGTGATCAGGCTTCAGGAAGGAACCAACTAGAACCAGACCCGGGAAGCCCTCTCACCCAGGCAGCACCCTCTCACCGTCTCTCCTTCTGATCAATTCCTGCTTCAACTCTCTCCCCTTTTCTCACCCTCACTCTCCCCCCACCCCACCCCAGCTTTCTATGACTCCCTATGCGTCCCATCTCCTCCACCTACTGCAGACCAGGGCAGCCCCTACCCAGAGAGGGAGGTGCTGGTTCTAGCCACGGGCAAAGACGCATTTTGGCTGCCTGTTGGTCTTCATTCTAAACTCTCAGAAGAGATGAGATGACTGGCTAGTTTGGGTCACGTGTCCACCCTTGGACCAATCCACTGTGGCCAGGAAGAGGGTCCTGGAGGGCTAACAAGGCAGGGGACCCACCCTGTGAGATGCAGGAATAGCCCAACGAGATACCCCAAGGTAGTTCTTCTACAGGTAGCAATGTTTCCTGCCTCACTTCTCGCCTGCCAGGATACACTATGGCTGACGCTCTCCCGGGAATATCAGGCTAACCAGACTTTCATGCCCGCATCACGGCAGTGCCACCTATACCGCCTCTCACAGAGATGGGGCCCAAGCACAGATAAGACTGGGTGCAGCCAAAACCTCAGAGACTTGGAAGGAGGCTCATGTGGACGTGGTGGGGGACTGAACCATCCATAACCTGGGAGGTAGCTGGAAAGAAAGGGTACAGAGGCGAGCATTAACGTTAACGGGGGGCTTCTGGAGGGCTGCAGGGCACGTGTGGTGTGAGACCTGGACAGAAGGTCCAGGCTCCATCTTTTCCTCCTAGGAGATTCACTCGAGGTCCTGGCAGCAGCTTAGCTAATCCCTATGGTCCCCACATCCCCCAGCCTCCTGTCACCAAGCAGCAGAAGAGGGGAGTCCTTAATGCTGTGTTCTCCCCCCTGTTCTTGTGTGCCTCGTCCTCCCAGCTCCCCACCGTCCCAGCCCTGCCCTTTGGTTCTCCCTAGATGAAGGGAATGGCATGTGGCCCCCCAAATATTGAGTGCAGGCTCCACTGAGAACAGGCAGGGTGGCAGGGTTCTTGATTTGCCAGCAATCTCTTCCACTGAAATGTAAAAATAATTCCTCGCGTCTGAGGCTCACGTGATCACATAAGAGGGTGTCTGTTGAAAATGCTTTATACACTATCAAGGGTTTGCAAATGGTAGCTCTGATCATGACTATAGATGAGGAAACCCAAGATCCACAGGAACAAAGGGAGTGTCCCAAGGTCGGGCAAGTGGCGGCCGGCAGCGCGGGGGCGGAGACCCGGGGGCCCGAGGTCGGAGTGCCCCTGCGGTCTGGGAGATCTGTGGTTTTGTACATTCTGGGACCAAGGAGCATCCTGAGGAGGTTCCTGAATGTTAATTCGTGACGGAAGCACTTTCATGTCCAAAGTCAGCCTGTCCTCCAGGGGCGTCCCCGATAGTGTCCTGCTCCTGCAAGGGCGGCCATCATTCCACGTCTGCAATGGCGCCTTTGGGGCCGTCAGGTCCTTGTGGGGTACCTGGTCAGCTGGGAAGGTGTGGCTGATTTTCAAGCTCCCCTCCCCCCATCTCCTCTCTGGCTTGTCCTATTTTCCCCCCTTCCTTTACTCCTCTTTTCTCTCTCACCTTATTTCCTACTCCCTTGGCCCCTGGGGGCACCAAGGTGTCTGCATCTTCCTGGAGTAACTTGAAATTTCAAGTGAAATAGAATCAAGGTGTCGCTGGCAGATGACCAGATGCCCCAAGAGCCACAGTACCTGTGGGGGGAGAGAAGGGGGAAGGGAGGGACACAAAGCACCCGGCGGCCTGGCCCTCCACCGCTGCAGCCGCAGGAACTCACGTGAGTGTGAACACGCCCATAACCTTCGTTCCCGGGTCTGATATCCTTCGCTAATTTGCAGGAGGGATGTGGCTGTCACATAGATGAGGGCTCTCCACACCAGGCCGGGAAGCCAAATTATAAACAGAAAGTTGCTGGATAAGCATGGCGTCAGAACCACGGGACATAAGTGTGTTGAGTGCATTGCAGCCTGTTGGATGGTTCTGGTTGGAAGTGAAGTAGTTTAGTTGCAAGTAAATGGATTTGAGGCACATTTATAGGACGGGCGGGCAGGACTTTGGCGAGATGTGAGGGTGACACCCCGGTTTCGGTGGGGACCACTGGATTGGAGGCACGCCTCCCGTGGGGACGAGGAGCTCCAGCAAAGGGCCGCTGTGGGGAGGAAAATGGCGGCCTTGCCATGAGCTCCTCTCTGACCTGGTGCTGGGACTTAACCCTTGAAGTCAAGCTTATTTCATTCGTTTTAAATTTTATTGTATGCACCGTTCCCTGGAGACGCCCCAGGTTTGCTCTCCTGCCCTCACGGCCTCTTTTCTGTTCATTCACAAGGCTGCTTACTGAGCACCTGCTCTAGAGCCAGGCCCTGGCTGGGCCCCAGGGAGTCCGCGTGCCTTCACCATGCGGGTCTTGGGGATAAACACTGAGCTACCTTCTGGGCCTGTGGAAATGACCGGTGGTGCGAGAGGTCCGTCCCCCTCAGTAAGCCTCCTACCTTGGCCCGAGGATGGCGGGCGGTGGTGTTGACCTGTGCCAGCACTGTCTGCAGTCATTTGCTCTACCAGCATCTCTTAGCGTGACTCGTCTGCACCAGACCCCCTTGCTTTATTTATGTATATTTGTCCATCAGAAAATGTTAGTTGAGCATCTCCTATGTGCCAGATGCTGTTTTAGGCCCCTGGGACACATCAGTGGGCCCAACAGGCAGACGTCCCTCCCTGGAGGAGCTCTCCTTCTGGCTGACGACAACAGACAGTGATAGAAGCAGAAGGAACAGCAGTTCAACTGGTGCGTTAGAAGGCGGTAGGGAAGACAGGAAAAAGCCGGGCAGGGCTGGCCGGCTCGCAGTGGGGGTGGGGACAGTGCAGTATTGAGCGAGGTGTCCACAGAGGCATCACTGAGAGGGCAAGGCTTTCAGACATGAGATCTGTGGGGCAGCACTGGTGATTGGGTGGGTCCCTGGGCCACATGGGGGACAGCACAGAGCACAGGAGGTTTATTGGGGACACCTGTCAGGAAGTCAGGGAGGCAGGAAGGGGCAGAGGGAGAGTTTGAGCTGTGATCCGATCAATCGACAAAGGCCTCGGCCGAACGCACGGGAGTCCTGGAGGTTGACTGGCCCATGGGGACGTCTCAGGCTGAGGCGATGTACCTTTTCATTGGCCGGGCCGGGCGTCCCCTCAGGGGGGCAGCTCGCTTTCACTGAGGCCCAGGCCCCAGGACTGAGTCGGGTTGTACACTGTGCATTGAAAACGGGCACAGGGACCATAGCTTCCTAAGCGTGTGTAGTTGTTACTAACTTCTAATTTATAAGGAAACCAAGGTCCCGAGAAGTTAAGCGGCCTGAGGGAGGGCATGCTGGCTAGTGAGCTGTACACTTGCCCTTGAACCCTGGCTCAGCAGTTAGGAGTCTGTTGCATGGTCCACGCCCCACCACGGTGCCTTCTCTATAACCTCAGGGACCAGCCCCGTGTAAGCTGAGAGGCCGGGTGTGGGAAGAACAGGAGACTCACTCTGCTTAAGAAAAAGTGCCGCTGGTTTCCCATTATACTTATTTTCAGATATCTCTCTTCTTTTTTTTTAGCTGAGCCATCCTGCCACCTGTTGGCAGCTCAGCGGCGGCTCAGCTCGGGCTAGGAATTGAACCCCTGTTGCTCAGAGCGCAAACCTTTGAGAGAGCTCTTAACCACCTGAGCCACTCAGCCGGCCCTCAGATATCTTTTTATAACTAATATGCATTACTCTTGTCATGAGGGGGGAAAGAAACCCTCAAGCCGCTGTGCCCCCTAAGTCTCCACGTCTCCAGAAAAGTCAGCCGCCTCCCCTCCCTCGGCCACATCAGTCACAGCCGGTGTGGAGGCTGCTCCTGTTGTCACGTGGAGGGGCTTTCCGTCTTTCTCACTGCAGACCCCTCCATAGTGACCTGTCCTCTCCCCGTCTCTCGTCCCTCTGCCTCTTCACACAGATGCAGAATGTCATGTATGACTTAATCACAGAACTCAACGATCGGAGCGAGGACCTGGAGAAGCAGATCGGCGGCCTGGAGTCTAAGCTGGAGCACGTCAGCGCCAGCCTGAACTCCCTGCCTCTGCTGCTGGTGGACACCCTACGCCAGCAGCAGCAGCAGCTCCTGTCCGCCATCGCCGAGGCCCGCGGCGTCAGCACGGCCATGGGCAACACCCGCACCCCACTCTCCGACAGCCCGATCGGGGTCAGCTCCACCTCCTTCCCGACCCCATACACAAGCTCAAGCAGTTGCTAAAGAAACCTCCCCACTGCAGAAGCATCGCCCATAGGTCTTAAGATGCAAAGCAACTCTCTCCTGGTCACGTTGCCATCAAGAAACATGGAGATCAGGGAACGTGAAGAAGCGAGACCGAGCTAACTCACCAACTCGTGCTCACGTGGCGTGCTTGGTTCGATATGCCTTGAAACCAGAAATCTAATCTCTGTTCAGGTGCCTCTACTTGGGAGCGGGAAGCAGAGATGACAGGAAGTGACGCCTGTGGCGGGGCCTGGCTGCGGAGTTGGTGGAGAACAAGTCCACACTCAATCTCAGGTGTTCACATGGTGGGTGAGGGGTCAGATGCACTGACAGAGCCAACAGTGAACCGCCCGGGGGGGAGGGTCCCACTGGGGGAGGGGCGTGTCAGGCCCGGGTGGGTGGGCTTCTCACCACCCAGGGCCTGGAGCCCACCTCTCTCTTTTCCTTTCGTCTAAGGAAGCTCCTGGATGACAAAAGGAAAAGAGAGTTGCCCACAACTTGCCAAAACAGACATTCTTTCCTGCTATACCTTATACAACCATAAAACCCAATTTAGACCGGTTGGGAGTGGGGAGAGGGGGGACAAGAAAATAAAAAGCCAGATTTTTCATACAATATTAATATCCATATAACCCTGTGTGTTTGCAAGTGTGCACATGTGCACACACACATACACACACACATTCAACCCAGGTCTCTTCTTGTTTGAACTTGACCCAACTAAAAAGGGAGCTGGTACCTTACCCTGCACACGGTAGGCACCCTTTAATTGTGTGTTGAGGCCGTGGGTGCTTTCAGTTTGGGGAGTTAGCTAGTGTTGGCCGCATTCTGAGTGTCACGGAAAGCACAGGTCCCTCAACCACAATGCAGGTTGTTTTGCCCTGGATGTGCCCCGTGCCCGCTTGGTTTGAGACGAATGCCAAGCTAAAATTGTTGGCATCCTGGAGAAGGATAGGCAGCCTTCTAAAAAAAAACCAGCTTTGCAGGGTTTTCTTCTTAGACCCAATGGAGCACGTGACCAGGTGTGTGTAGTGAGGGAAGGGGGACAGGGTCTGTGCACACAGGTGCACAGAGAGGTGCAACTCAATGACACCTGAGCAAATAGAACTTGTCCGGGGATTGGCTCAGCTAGATTTATCCAGCCACAGGTTTCCAGGGCCAGATGTTAGGAGTGCAAAGGGGTCAAGTGCCTGACCTGAGGGCTGCTGAGCTGGAAAGAGAAGTGATGGTGAGTGGCCCAGGGGGTCCCTTCTACCTGACCAGCCAGATGATGGGAATCAAGGCAGCCTTAGGGAAACTTGCGCGTCAGGAAAGAGGGCACGGGTTTGTCGGCAGCCTGATCCTACCATGCCGTGTTCATCTTGGTGCAAAAACTATTCTAATATATCTCAAACTCCAAGAGACATCAGAACCATCAAGGTCCAGGGTAGTAACAGGCGTTGAGGGCAGAGGGCCTGTGGCTGCAAACTTTTTCTCATTGCTCCATCACCTAACCACACCCAACATTTACGATGTAAAAGCCACTGTGCTAGTCACCCCTTTCTCATTCTGAGTTCTTTGAATTGTGCTCCTGGGAGTTAAAGGACCCTGCATGGAGTATTTCATCTGTTGAGGGTGGAGCACCAGGGTGCTATGTGTGTAGGGGTGCCCTGGTGGCTTCCCTTTGCACAGGACATGCCACCATTCCAAAGACAATGTTGAGCTGTGAAGATTTTCCTTCTGCAGCCCTGAGCCTCGTCTTCTAAGGACGAAGGAATCGGTAAAACGTAGACAACCCCAGAACTAAGGCCATTCTTTCAAGGAGATCAGGTCTCCTGCTAAACTTCTTCTTTTATCTCTTTTTATTGCTGTGCTGTTCTTCTAAAGGCCTCACCTTTGTTTTGACGACTCCTTTGAAAATTTTCATTAGTGGTTTTGCATACCACAGAGGCTGCACTTGCTGTTGGCTTTTTTTTTTTTTAACTGGTTCTTTTAACTATTGATCAGCTGAAAAGTCCCTCTCCTTTTCTATGCCCCGAGAATGGTGCTCCTGTTTTCAATGACAGTCCGGCTGAACCTAGAAACAGATGAAATAACCATGCAGTATCTTTGTGGCATCGGTTCCATTTCACAAAGTGAAGACCACTGACGGGTCAGGCTGAGTGTGCCCATCCTGATCATTTAACCCGTGGCCCTCAGCTATGAATTCCTATTTGCACTTTCCATTCTGCTGTGACAGCGTGATTGCCTTTTCATTTCAAGTAAATGACATGAAATATTCCACTGCCACTCCCCTGCCCCAAAGTGGGCACAGACTATCACTGATCCCTCCCAGTCTGTGGATAATTCTTGAACCCGTCGTTAATGCTGTACCCTTAGGAAAGCCCCAAAGACCAAGCCAGCGACACTAGCAAAGGGAGTGACTGGAGTCGTGTCCAGTAGCCACTGGCATCCTAGAAACACATGGGCATTTGCAGCTCGACTTGACTTATTGGTAGTGCAATAGCTATGTATGCTTTTGTCCTTGGCTAAAGAAGACTTCATCTTTCTCCCCCAAAGTGATCGTATCTGCATGTTGAATATTGATCCTGCAATGGTAACTGGAAGGCTGCTTCTCTGTGCTAGGAATTCAGCTTTGTGTAATGGGAAGTTACCCGTTCTGCAAGTACAATCAACCTTTGATGACCTAGGTCTCGGTTGCCTGGGGTGTGGCTCACCCAGCTGTCCCTCCGACAGCCTCAGCATCACAGTCAGATGGGAGAGGGGCAGGTGGACTCTCGTGCTATGCCTTCTTGTTCCTTACTTTCAGGTTTGATGGTGGAGGAGGTTGGATTATCTACCCAAGAAATTGGCTGTGTGTAAACACTATGAATTACAATCACCTCATTTCAATCCTGAACTGATTGAGTTCTGCCCACTCCTGGAAGGCTGACCCAGTGACAGAGCCCCTGCGATAACCTTTCCGATAACATAGTGACAGGTCAAGTACTCTAATGTTCCCCCAAAACGTCTAGACAGTTGAATTAACAATGCAGGGCCACCCCTCATCGCTTAAGCCATATAGCCTCATGTACTGTAAAGGCAGGTATGTACTGTGATACTTTAAGACCACTGATTTCAGTGGAAGTTCAGGACATAGCATCAGTTGGTAAATTATACCAGACTAGGGGCTCTCCCCTCCTTAGATTGAAGTCCAAATAAAAAATCACTCTTGGCTTGAAGGCCACATATGTGTGATCATTGTGAATAAGTTGTCATAAAGTATCTATGGACTGCTCTTGCCATCCTCATAATATGTAACTTCACGAATTCATTGTCTCTAGAAATGCTTAATAGAACCCAAAAGAACAAGAGGGGAAAGGCCCCGAGTCACCACTACCATCTGACCTTAGCAGGGACCAGTGGTGGAACAATAATCTCGTAACTTAGGAGCTGCGGAAAAATGCATGTCCCAGTAAATCCTAAAGTGCTGAGTGAGTGCAAGCCATTGTCACTTATTTAAGGACACGAAGGAACAGTGAGGAGGAAATAATGATGTGAGTATATTTGAGGATTCCTCCCTTAGATTTTCAGTAATTTCCTTGCGAATCAGTAATTGTGGAAAAGACAAAAGCTAGAGATTCAGAATCAGAATAAATAAAACTGTAACACTGGACCCCCCCACCACCCCCATCTTTGGCCAATTAGTATAACCACCTCATACCTCAGTTTACCTGTACTTAAGATGAAGATAACAGTTAATATTCTTAAGTACAAAGTATTCAATAGGTTTAGAAAAATGGAATCACTGTTGTCATCAACGGCAACCCAGACCGGCTATGACTAGCCCACACTTTGGCGTGGCAGCTGGATGCAAATCCGTAGTTACCAAAAAGTAATTGTTATATATCAACCAGGTACTGAGGTGAGCAGGGAGAAAGACGGAATGAGCACCTCGTTCCAGGACCTCTCTCCTCTTCAGAGCACCCCAAACTGAGAATCAGTGTTCCATCCCAGAACAACACTGCAACTGCCATCACAGCACCACAGCTGACAGCATGCTCATTGCGCTACCAGTGGGCTACTCCTCTCTTTACGTTACTGCTTTTCAATCCTAAACCATGTCCCCAGTTCTCTACAGCCACCCTACGTCCCATGTGCTTAGGATTGATTAGTGGTGATTTTGGGGTCCTTGTGGACGCTGCCGTGATCGGTTTCAGTACCTTAGACAGCTACCCGGTGGTTTCCTGGTAGACCCGGACCGCCCCTCCCTCCTTCTCCCCTCTATAGTTAGACAGCTGGAGGATACCCTAGATAGGGACCCTTTCTTCCCTACTGCCGCCAAAGTAACCCTGTGGGGACCACCGATACCACTGAAAAGGTGTGCTATGGGGAAAGCAGTGTTAACTGCCTCCACTGTAGACATAGGTGAGTGGCCTTCATCCCGAAGCTTGTACCAGGCTGCATGAATAGAAATTAACGCAAATGCCTCCCAGACAAGTAATATGTAGATTTTTTTTTTACTGACCTAGACCGAAGCTTAGTAGAAAGTACTCAGTGCAATGGCATATACATATATACAGATTGAGAAAAATATAACTGTGATCTTTTTTTCTTACACCATTACTGGAAGCACCCCTTCTCCCCCCAACCTGAACTGGAGTTCCCTCTGAACAAAACCATTGTTAAATCTTCAACGTATGACCTCCAATCTAGGTGCCAAGTGCCCTGCGACACTTGTTTACACACCTGAGAAATGCATTCTGGAAGCTGTCATCTTACGCCGGGACCATGGCTGGGACCATGTGCGGAAATAAACGAGAGACGTGGTGACCGACCAAGCTGGTGGAGGAAAAGCACAAAATTCAACACCAACCTGAAGTTAGGATCCCAAAGAGATGCTGAATTTATAGCCAAAAAATTTTTTTTAAATCAGTGACAAATCAAATAGGAATCTGATTGGAACAGCCAATATCCAGATTCTCAGAAGAACAGGAAATAAAGGACATCCTCTAACTGTGTCACATTGTTGCAGTTTTTGAATCTCAACCAGGACCGGTCCACCTTCATCAGACACATGTTTTAAGGGCACAGCGACTCAGTTTTGGTCCCAGCTTCTCATTCTGCGCTGACCACAAGCGAACACCGAAAGAGAGTGACAGGATGTCGATGGAGGAAACGCTTTCATGGCAAACTCAGAAACTGACGTGTTTATATTCAGAATCAGATGAGCTTCAACACGAATTTGCATCTTGCCTCTGTACTGCTTGCTACTTTTTAATGATAGGAGAAAGCATAACAGTTTATTTTAAATATGAAATATATTGCTATATTACAAAATATATTGTAACTACTTTCAATTAACATTTTGTATCCAACTAGTCTTTAGCAGGTCCAGTGTCAGCCTGCTCTCTCCATGACTGTTTCTGAGTACACATCAGTGCTAGCGACTGCCTGACCCCTAGACTGAGGGTCCTCAGCCGACAGAACTGCCATATTCTAATTCTCCAAGACCTGACTCTTAGAGACAGAAGAGCATTATTCCAAGCTTAGAAGAGAACAGTTCTGCCCTAAATTCTATCAAGCCATTCCAGAAGAGATTTTTAAAAGCCATCACTCCTTTAGGAGCTGTGCAAAGCCGGTTCAATAAAAGTACAGGCTCTTTCTATACAAATTCAAAGGCCCCGTTACATAAATCGTATGTCTCAAACTAAGCCAACCAGCTTTTCCCTTTGGCAACGTCAGAATTGGGCTCAAGGAAGAGTCTCGTTCTGCTGTGACACGGAAGACTCCCAAATCTAGGCCTATGTGTTTCTATGTCAGAGTAAAACCTGTATTGGAAGTCCACCTGCCCCAGGCCTGGTGAGAACCCAGGGTGTGGACGTCCCTGTCTGAGTTGGCTGGACCCTGGAGCGAGTGAGGTCTCCACAAGTTTGTCCCCGACAAGGCAGTAAGGCGGAGCACAGCTCCTAAGGGGGTGGGGGAGGGGAGGGCAGGATGTGCACAGGATGACCCCACAGGGAGCCAGGCTTCCTTTTTCTGCTAGTTTACTCTAGCTAGGAGGAAAGACAGAGTTCAGGCAGGTGTTTTCCTTTCTTGGCAAAATTGTGGACAATTTACTTAAGCAACTATGACGTCCATCGCCCTCCTCCTCTGATGCAGCAGTTAAGACGTACAAGTCGAATTTCTCACTTCCCTCCTCTGAGTGACCGAGGAACTAGATAAAAACAGGATGTGTTGGTTACGGAACAGGCTTTCTAGAAGCAATGGGCCTGCCCCCGCGGAGGACCCTGACTTGTACTGGGGACAGTATCCTACAGGTGCCACCAAGTAGCATCAAGGTAGGCTTCCCTGAGCAAGCGCGTCTCTCCCCGTCACAGACTGAAAACCCACACAGGTAACTGAGAGTGCCAAACAACAGCTTTGCTCCTGGGAACAAAGCTGGAACCTCCTCAAACTCTCCTGTAGTTGAGCTTAAATGTAGATAAGGCTTGGGCTTGGATGAGATTTGTCATCCATGCCGTCCGTCCGAAGGACAAATACCTCACTGCCCGGCTCCGTGTGGCCTGCATGGCCGCTGACACGGAACTCTCACACCCATTCATCCTCTTGGAGCTGGACTGTCTCCGTGTCTGCACGGCTCCTCAGTTACAAGTCATTAGGTGTTAGGCTGAGCTCCAGCCAAGCCATCAGAACCCCGGGGCACCTGTGCTTTGCAGGCTGCTCCTTCACGGGGTGATGGAAACCAGCTTCTTCTCAATTTGATAATTGACGGATGAACGTGCTGGTGGTAATTGATTTGTCTCTTTATATTTTCTTGCGACTAAATACAAAGCTGTCTTCTTTGCTTTCCCTTCTAGCACTTCTCAGGCTAAGACTTTTATAGAGTGAATATATTCTGATTCCCTCCCCGCCCCCCCCCAAGTCTTTACTTAATCTAGATCAAGGAAACCAGTACAAATTCCTGATGTGGGGAAAGCAGACATCTTGACAATCATTCGGGCTTATGGCTACACGCTAACCCTTGCTACTCAAAGTGTGGTCCACAGACCAAACAGCATTAGCGTCACCTGGGAAATTGTTAGAAAGGCAGAATCTCAGGCCCCACACCTGACCTACATAATCAAATTCGGCCTTTTAACAAGATCCCCCGGTGACCTGTATACACGTTAAATATTGAGAAACACTGGCCTCACCACACTGCTAAGTGGTAACCGACATCATTAATAATCAGACAATTAAGCCTTTTCTTCCTGGACCCTCATTTGCAGCATTATTGGATGAAGTAAAGGTCCCGAGTGATCATAAGGGTAAAAACAAATGCACCTGAAAATGCCACTCGAATCTTTTCTCCAGTCTGATTTTTTTAAAACGCTCCCTTTATAGCCTTGAAGCACCTCAAAGCTCCTTAGGTTTCTCATTTCAGTCAGTGCTGGCAGGGCCATCAGCCTATCAGGTGGCCCCTCAGGGCAGGTCCCTCAGAAAGCCACCTGGATGTCTGTCTGCTCAGCATAGTATAGAAATAGCGCCCCTTCCGTGGGAAACTCAGCATCCCACGGGTGGGAACGCTCCTCCCTAGAGGAAAATAGCAGAAGAGTGCGCTCAACCATCTAGAAACATCCATAACCTCGTCTTAACACCGATACTCTTATTCGTTACACCAACCGGAGACACTCCGAGGCGGGCAAGGAAAAGATGTGAACTGTGATACTGATGCCATAAATCGATATGTACCCAGAAACAGTTATGTCCTAAATTAATGGCTTTAACCTGTTCATTGTAAAAAGTGCCTTGGACTTCAATCTAAAGAGGTCAGTATAAATATATGTGTGTGTGTGACGTATGTAGGCAAATATTTACATATTTATACATAGGTGCACACACATACCTGCACATTCATATATAATATATACATACATATATAAACGCTTCATAGTATATTATATTGCTATCTGCAGCTCCATTTCTCTCGTCTGGTCCTATGTTTATTTGTTTAGTGAGACCTTTACATAGAGAGGTTCTATTCAGGACATTGATGTTATTTTTTTGTTTGTTTTTTACTTTTTATTAAAAAGGTAAAGGATATTAAAAAAAAAAAAAAGTCAAGTGCCTGAAGGTTTTGAATGGTGAGACACTTTTTCTTTTTTTTTTTGAGTTGTGGTACACTTTCTCAGGTCACCAAAGAGGAAACTGCTTTTTTTTCCTTTGGAAAACATTTTTCTGTTTCAGCAACTTGGCTTTCCCTCGGCGGGAGTGGGGACAGTGATTTGCTAATTCCATTATAATCCATTTTTGTGGCCCCCATAATGCAACAGCAGAGATCTGGTTCAGCCAATCTAGTGACCAGTTCTCTTCATACATGACGCAGGGCCTGGCCTTTACACGCCGTGCTTGGTTTTGGTGGCAAGAGGCAGGCTGAATTCAAGGGGATAGGGCTTAGATCCGCCCTAACCACACAGAAGGAAAGGTGGGAAGTCCTCTTCCCTGAACCAGACGGAAACCTGTCTCAGAAGGCTGGCTGGGGGGCCTAGGGAACTGTCTACAATAATCCCATCACCTGCTGTTATCAATCGCCCTCTCTACCTTAGCCAAAGGGCTTCTCTTTCTCCCCTGCAGCTCGTAAGGGACCAACCTCTCTGGCTAGCAGCCCCCACGGCTCCAAGAACAGTTGCCAAGTTCACGGCACTCTGCTTGTGAGCTCAAAGAGGCATGTTGCCTCTTTAAACCAACTGTCACTCCTCTCAGGCTCCCTGCCCAAGTGGTGACACCCACACGACAGCCAGGGCCGGGCCAGAGGGGTAGTGCTCCGGAGTTCACGGTGTCAATCAGAAGAGACACTGCACACTGTCAGAGGGGACCTAAAGGACGCCAGGTCCCTCCAGCTGTCCCCACAGCAGCAGCCATGTTCAGGACCAAGAAGGGCTGGAGCCAGGGGAAGGGACACCCAGTTCCCCAAACTGAAAACCCCAGGCCCTCACCTTTCCCCAAGAATTTGCCTGTAGCTGTAGACAAAAAAAAAATAATGTGAAGAATAATGTAACTTAGGTGCTTTCGGAAACAGTAGCTACTATTTTGGGACTTGTTCTAAATTAGCAAGACCTGAAAAAAATATTTTCAAAAATATATCTAGTTACATTTCTGCTGCTGTCCATTCCTCCGAGCTCTCTTCCAAAAGTTCCTTATGAATGGGTACACTCACCAACTCAGTCATCACTCAATAATAACACTTTGTACTAACAAACAATACCTTTCATCCAGGGACCTCAGCTACCAGTAAGTTAGTTGTCACCCTGGGAAGGGGGCGATGGGGGTGACAATATCATTCCCATTATTCAAACAGGAAAATTGAGCTGGAGAAAACCCAGCAGTGAGTGACTCGCCTCAGTCAGGAGTTAAACTGAAAAACCAGCCTAGGATTTCTCCGTGCCTTTTGGGAGTCCGAGGTGGCTCAAACTCTATTGCTGGCCACCTTTGAATAAGACCGAGAATGTGTGTTGACCACGTGTGGTCGGGCCCCAGGTTTGGGGTGTTTGGGATGTGGGTGGTGGGCTGGCCTGCAGGTTTGGAGGTCTGGGTGGCAGCTTCTCTGTGCTAAGGGTGGGAGTGTGCCCTCGAGGGCGGGCTGAGCCTGCGGCCTTCGCCACTTCCTCTAGAATTGCGGCTGAAGAGAAAGGGCATTTTAAACATGTTCTAGCAAATGCTGATACGATATGATGGCATTAAATAAAAACAAGAAGGGAACTGACTCTAACCAAAAGCTAAAAATGCAAGCGGCTGGTTTCCTTTAATTTGATCTTTTTTCCTTCCCTATGTCTGCAGTTGTGAAAACAGGAGTTTTTCTTAAGGAGGAAATCTTAATTTAGACTGGAAATTGAGGCCCCAGGGGAAAGTCACCTCTTTGAGCAAGGCCAGGATTACCCTGGTGCTGATGGCAGTGCCAACACGCAGACACACGAGTGTGTTTAGCACCCACCCCAGTTTTAACAACCTGGAAAGAAAGTGAGAACCGTTTGTAAGGTGAGCGGCTGTGCATCAACGAGAATATATAGACACACGGCGTGTGATAAGGCAAGCTTGCAGCTATGTGCAAATAAAGGATCAGGCAGTTAAATACTAATCATTCCATTTATTGGAGCAAAGGTGCTCCGTCTTTCCTTCACACTAGAATCACACTAGAAGGTTTTGAAAACGCCCAAGCCAGTGTCCCCAACCCCTGGAGGTTAGAAGGCAGCCTGAGTGGCATCTGGGCACTTTCCTGAAGCCGCGCCCCTCGCCCCGGTGGGTTCTAAGGGGCACCCAAAAATTGAGCACTGATCCAGACCTTGCTGAGGTCAGTGCTCCCCAAAACCTCTACTCTCCCCAGGGCCCATCTCCTGAGTCAACTCAGGGCCCTTCCCCTGAGTGGGCAAGGAGTGATGGAGAAGGAAGTATGGGAGACAAGCTCTTTAGAAAGATGGTGGTTTGGTTGAAGTGCTATGCCCTCGTTTCTTTTCAGTTCTGCACCCATGAGCCTGCGCTCATTTGCATTCAGGCACCACACATATTGGCAAACGATGCTGCCAGGTTATTTATTCACTCAGTATTCCTCTGCCTCGCCGCTGCAGCTTCCTGTTTTCCCCTGGCACAGGGTCTGTCTGGGCTTAACGTCTTTCTTTGGCCTCTGCTCTGGGCAAGGATGGGGGAGGGCTCTCCAGACACTTTTCATTAGGCAAAAAAAGGTTAAGATTAAAAATACCCTTGCGAGCAGGTGTCTCACTGCACCTAACACAAAAACAGTTAAGGTAGCCTGCCAGGCTACACGCACCAACCTTTTCCTAACTATATTTAACCATTAAATACCATGTCTTCTATATTAAAGAGAACTTGACCCATTACTACATTCTGCTTAGCTGGGAAAGCTGGAAAAACAGGACTTTAGAACTCAAAGGTGGGCTCTGTTTGCTGAATTGGACAAGTCCACTGCATTCCCCACCCTCTGAGTAAGGCTGCCCCCTGCAGGTCAGACAGAATTACAGCCACCCAAGGGACTGGAAGATTCCCCGGGCTTCCGGGAAAAGGCCTGTCCCTAAGTCATGTCTCTTACCTTCCTTCCACACAGGAAATGGGATGCCAAGAAAAGTGATTTCCCCAAAATCAGACAGGGAATTAGGGCAGAAGCTGGACTGGGGCGTTGCCACACCGTGCTGAGAATCCTTGTGTGCTGGTGTGGAAAGCCAAGGCCCAGGGCCTTGTGTTCCTCCGAGATTCATCTCCACAATTCGTTATCGATTTTGCAAATGTTAGAGAATAGAAGGCCCTGCTTCCCACATACGCACATGTTCTCTCTCACACCCCCCCCCCCACATTATCAATTTCTCACTGAAAACAAAGATGCATATTGTGACCCGTTCAATGAATTCATTGTGTATTTTATATTCCAGGGGCGTGGATCATTTTCAAATGTATCTGCCTTTAGTTTCAAGATTTGAGAGCTAATACTTGCAAATCTACAAAAAAAACCCCACTGGTTAGGGAACATTAAATTAGATTATTAAAATGATGCAATTTTATACCCGGTATCAGAGTGGATTATGCTAATGGTGGTCAAGGTTATTAATCTTTATTTCAATCACTACTGCAAATAACACATGACGATTAGCCAAAATTAGCTTCATCTCTTTTTTTTGTAGCATGAATTTGAAATTTTCACTTTATATTTTTTGAGGGGATGAGTCCCCCTTGATAGCCTCTCTTACAATGCAGTCCTGTCCCCTGGAAACCCAAAGGAGGGAAACAAATGCAGTCTGTTAGCGCTGCCTACGGGCAATCTCCTCTTAAGTAGAGCTGCTTTCCAAATCGGTTCTGCCTCCTACTTCCAGCAGTGGGGTATCACTTAAAGCAATCAAGCATTTCTCAAGAGAGAATACGTACAGCCGCGGGGCACCCACACCCCACTCACTCATCCCGGGAAGTGTCAGGTGTGCTGGGAGCTCCTAAGCACCGTGATTCAATTGCCCTTTCTTCCAACACCCTCCTCACCTCCCACCTCTGGCAATGAGAAGGTAGATACATAGCTCAGCCTGAACTCCAGACTTCAGGAATCCTAACGGATTTATACGTAGGGTTTCCTAGAGAATTTTTTTTCTTTTTTCTAAGCATGACAAGGCAATGTTTACTTGACTCACAAATGTGGGAACCTAGGACCCTGTTTAGTGTGGGTTCCAAGGAGAAAATGACCACCTGGCATTGCCTGAACACCCATAAGAGGAGCTGACATCCTCGGTTCTCGCTTTGGGAATATGATGAGAGAAAGCTGCCGAGGACACTGACTCATTCCATCTGCAGCACCCGTTTCCTCAATACCCCAGCCAACAGCACGTGGATTTAAATTTGGTGAATTCACCCTGCCCCCATCTCCACTCTGCATTTGGGTGGGATTAATCCTACTTGCAAACCCATGCTGGGGCAGCCTTAAGCCAATTAGAGCACCTCATCGCCCTGGCCAAATGGTATGCACCTGGTCCAAATCAGGCTACACACGAGCACAGGAATCCCAGAGCCCAGGGCTTGGGTAGCAGCTACCAGAAAAGACCGTCTTCCCCAGGAAGGTGTGGTGTAAAGTAAGGATTTTGTCAGGAACCGAGGTGACCGTTTTGTTTCATGAGGGGAGAGGGTGGTAGGGTTTGACGGGGGTTACCATGCTGACCATGAGGGTGAAGCCAAGACAGAAAACAGAGGTGAGAAATAGGGACCTTGGTGACAACCTCGGGGCCACTGAATCTTCTAATTACCTGAGCCACTAACTTCGCTTTATGGTGAAGCCATTTTGGAGGTGCATTTTCCGCCACACCCAACATAAGCAGTCCTGATGGAGAAGAACCAAACCTCTGTACACATACCTGGTTTCCCAGCGGAGTAGCCAGAATGAAAACTATCAAACAGTTCTGACACTGAAAAGTTTAAAACACAAAAATCAGATAGGATGACAAGAAAATTGGGAGTGTCAACACTGACTCTCACGTGCATCTTGATCTCCAAGGTAGACGGGTGATGGAGGAAGTAAAGAACCACAGAATGAGATTCTGTTAAGTGAACCAAATGGTTTTTACAAGAGGCTGAAGATGCAATGATCTATCAGCCAGGTGGGGGTGGTGAATGGAATAAGTGATTTGGGAAGGTTTGGAAGGACGGTGAGTATGGAGAACTTCAGAGTTTGATAATTACAATTATGAAGTCATCAATAACATAATTGAAATACAGTCTATAACTTCCAAACTAGTAGAAGTTGAAAAACTGAGAGGAAAAAAAATCATTTCCAAAGGAGAAAGAAAACAAAAAATGTGGAAAAATTAAAAGGACAAAATAATAGAATCAATATATCAAAATATTTTTGCAATCACAATGAAAATAATGGACTAAATGCTCTAGGCAAAATAAAAGAATTGTCGGACTGTTTTAAATTAGCCAAATAAGTGCTAACTAGAAGAGACACAGCTAAAACGAAGATAAAGAAAAATGGGAAGTGCAAATTTTAAAAAGATACACCAAGTATATTCTAACCAAAAGAAAGTGTGTGTAGCTACATAAATATCAGGGGGAAAATAGATTTTAATATAAAAAACACTGAGTTCACCAAGAAAATATAACAATTCTAAATTTACATAATACATTTAATCACTTGGCCTCAAAATACATAAAACATTTATGAAACTACAGCAAAACAAAGACAAAACCACAATCATAGTAGGACATTTTAACACATCCCTCTGATTAAGATCAAACAGACAAAAAGAAATACGAAAAGACAGAAAATTTGAATGGCATAATTAATAATCACAAAAATCTATATATAGTACAGACTTTTTCCAACTACACAGAACATTAATGAAAATTGATCACTTAATGGGCCATACATAAAGCCAGTTCAACAAATTTTAAAGCACTGGTACCACATAAACAACATTCTGACTACCATGCAATATATACTAAAAATCAGTAAAAAAAAAAATTTTTTTTAACAAAATATTAGATATTTTAGAAATTAAGAAACATACTTATAAATAATTCATGAATCAAAGAATAAATCATAATGGAAATTTTTTTAAATATGAAATAGAATTTTAATGAAATACATCTCAAAATGATTTGAATGCAATTTTAAAGAATGCAGAATAGACAAATGGAGACAAACAGAAATTAATTAAATAAAAAAGAAACATACACTAGATTAGGTTTTATAAAAAGCCAAAAGTTGATCCTCTGAAAACATTAAAATAATTGAAAAACTTCTAGCAGGATTGAACAATAAGAGACAGGAAAAGAGAGAGAGAGAAAATACAAAATAACATTAGGAATGATGCTATGATCACTGAGAAAAAAAAATAGGAGAATATTAGGAAATAAATGAAAAAGACAGATTCCTAGAAAAAGATTACGTACCAAAACTGACTCAAATAAAAAGAAAAATATAGAACAGTCACAAAATTATTAACAAATAAATAAGTAAACATTTTTCCACAAAGAAAACACCTAGCCCAGATTATTTTACCAGCAAATTCTACCAAATATTCGAAGAGCAAAATCATTCTAATTTTTATTCCCCAAAGAATAAAAAAAAAGAAAGAAGGCCACTCCCCAACTCATTTTGTGAGGCTAGCATAGTATTGATATCTCAACCTGATAAGGACAGTACAAGAAAGGAAAATTATAGACCAGTTGTATTTATGACTGTAGATGCAAACCTCCTAAACATACTATTATCAAACCAAATCTAGAAATAGATGAGGGGGGGAGAGGCATCATAATCAAATTAGATTTATCCCCCAAAATACATTTATCTAGTATTAGAGAAGTCATGAAATTCACTGAATGAACAGATCAAAGGAGAAAATCATTTAATAATAGATTTTTAAAAAGATTAATTAAATGCAACATTGAT